GGAGGGAGAAAGATCATTTTCTGTCCATATTGTATTCAAGAAACAGGGCAGTTCCACAACAGAAAGAACATGTATTATTTTTCTTCTGAATAAAGAGCATTTCTTAATCTCTGAATGCATGGTCTTGATCGCTACAAAACAGTATTTTAAAATCCCATAAATGTACAAATTAAGATCTAAGGTCAATTTGAGATTACAGACACTGAAAGAATGAGAAATGTAAAGAAACAGATATCTACCATTATTAATCAGGGTCTGCTGAGCATAAACTTCCAGACATTTATATAAACAACTTATTTCATTTAAACTTTATGAGATAATTTTATGAAAATGTTATACATATTTTCCAAGCTATCTCACTAATAAACAACAGAATCAGAATTTCTAGTCAGTAGTGTCTGTGTCTAGATAGTAATGCTATTAACAATTCTCCCTTCTTTTCTCTAGAATAAGATGCCCTGTGGTAGTATCAAAGTAAAATAAAACTTTTTTTTTACAAAACAACTTGAGACCTAGTTAGTTTTTCAAGAGTCTTTAATATCAAGCTTTCAAATAACTAACATAACTAATAAAAATTGAAATCACAGTTTTAATGAGTCTATGTTCAAAGTTCTATAAGTAAACAGACTATAAGGATCTATTATGTAAAGTTCCTAAGTGATTCCCAATTAATATAGACTTCTTACTGATAAAGACTCAAAAATTAGATCAACATCTCCAAGCCATGCTCCTGCCCACTTCTCTGTGGGCTGTTCACCATATGCTCAAGGATTAGCCTTGGTGCTCTTCCTGCTCAACCATTCTTACGAGCTGGTTAACAGTACATGAAAACAGCGTAAAATGCTAAGCAACTGTCCACGATCCTTGTTAAATTTTTCACATCTGCTTTCTAGTATCTACAGTGGCACCAATATTTTACATACTACTCATGTCAAACAACAACAACAAAAATTAATACCATATCAAGGAATAAATGATATTTTACAATCACGAGCACATAACTAAAACAAAAATTTCATAATAACCACATTTATATTTACTGCACATAATACATTTGATATTTTCTAATTGTTTAGAAAATCAGAGTAGCAACCCACTAAGCTGATCTCACAAACACTAACCTACAATTAGAAGAATGTTGCTCTCCTTCTAACCCCACTAAGGAAATATTGATGGAACTTTAGTGTTTGACTTCTGTCTCTCTACAGTGAAGGAGATAAAGGACAAGGAGGGGAAGAAAGGAGAAACTCTTCTCTAGCACATCAGAAGAGCTAATTCATCAGCCCTTCTAACACAAAAGATCTGGAATCACGTTAACCATTTTAATTGTACACAACTTGGTACAGTCATAATTTTTGACCAATTTCACCACCATATTCTGACTTTTATCTCAAACAAATTGTAATAACCAAATAATTCCCAATGTCTATTTTAGGCAACTCTTTACTGATATTTATAAGGTTATTCTGTAATAGGATAATGAACTCACATAGCCATTGATCAAGGCTCAACAAATTATGAAATTCTGCATTGTTTAATCCACAAAACCTGTTATCTCACCTCACCCATACAGACTTAAACATGAAAACTATAGATTCTTTCCATCTAATCACAGAGGTGTTATTACAATATACATACAATAATTTCTTGTCATCTTGAGATGCTGCCTTTTTTTTTTTTTTTTAAAGACAGGGCTTCACTATGTGGCACTGGTTGGCCTGGAACTCACTCATTATGTAGACCAGGCTGGCCTATATCACACAGAAATTACTCTGTCTCTACCTCTCAAGTGCTAGGGTTAAAGACAACCACTATCATGCCTGGTAAGATGCTGCAATTTAGAAATACAATCAATTAAACTATGGAAAAGACGTGCTGTCAGGAAGTTCTTCCGTGATTAAATAGTACATTACTTCTAAATAATTTATTAATAAACTGATTTTATAATGGATGATTAGCCAATACGAAAAGAACTACAATGTTTCAAATTAAAGTTTTACAGAGATTTCTCCTGTATCACCATTGTTGTAAAGCCATTGAGCCAATATATTAGTTAGAATGTCAAAAATAGGATGTTTCCTTAGCAGAACACTGTAAAAATAATCTAGGAATATTTATGATTACCATTATTCTGCCTAAGGAATCATGACTAATTAGAAAGGTCTATTTTTCAAGTATATTTTTTAATAGATTTTTGTTTGACCTAAATGTCAGAATTACAGAATGTGAAGATATAACTTCACAACCCCCCCAAAATAGTATTTGTTTTACAAAACAGTTGAAGAAATACATGAAAAATACTACAAGCAATAATAATTTCTCATTTCAGTTCACACAACATACACTACCATTCTAGTGATCTACCCAAACTGCTCTAGATATACATAAAGCATCACTATTTAGATTAACAGAGAATGACACAAAAAGAGTGTTGAGGGAAGGGGGATATATTAATTTATAATAAAACATACTATTCAACTTAAAATATAATCCTTTACTCATGGGTTAGCTTTCCTACTTTTTTTCAGGGTTCAAGTTTGTTAATGATCAACGGTCAGTTTTTATTGCCTTTAACAGTCAAATGGAAACTCAGTAAGTTGGTTAAACTCTAAGTCTAAATATGAAGAAAACAAATATAAAGTGATAAATACAAAGAAATTTAATCAATATCTCAAAGCTAAGCATTGGGATAAAAGCATAGGAAAAAAAAGTGATCATATGAGTTAAGTATGAGGGGAGAAGGAGCAGACGTATGTGGGACATGAAGGACTAAAAAATTTCCCAAGTCAAAGCAAAGACAAAACATTTTACACTTAGCAGTGACAGAAGAAACTTAAGAGATTGGGACAGCAAATATATGCAAACAAGCACAAGCAAAACACAGCTTTCCAAGTGCATGTACTCATCTCACTCGGAGAGAAGCACAGGCACTGAGGCTTCTCGGTTTTTACAGCTAAGGCTTTTCATTTTAGAAGAAAACAAAGAAAATAAAATAGTGACAATTTTTACTTTTAAAATGAAAATAAACCTCCTAATCAGCAATACAAAGAAAACTCATCAACTTTCTTTCTAAATAATAATAAGGCAGTTATACAAGATAATTAAGTCAACTAGTCAGAATTCAGCTTAGTATTAGCTATGTAAATCAGGAATGTGATTTACCATTCCAGTTTGTTTCCTTAGTTGTGAAGATAAAGTGAATTAAGATATGTAATATGTTTAGAATATAAAGCAGCAAGTTAAAGTAATAACTAAAATTCAGGTTATAACAATTATAGGACTGGAAGTAGTAAGACTTTCAGAAAGTTGTTTAAAACTTAACTACTTAGCTTGTGCAAGGGCCCTACATTCAATTCCTTGTACCATAAAAAATAATAGTACAACCATCTTATGTATGGAAAGCATAGGATGTTATATGGAACACCTTAAACTCAATTACATTATAAAAATTACACGAAGAGAAGAAAAGTTGGATCCAGTTAGAACACCCTTTGTGTCTCTCAAATGTTTAGAAAAGTCTGCTTCATATCTCGAGAATACACTACCCAATTGAGATATCAGACACTGCTTTTACCAATAAATACACTTTCACCCAGCATTACATGTGGACTCAAGATTCCTAGCCTATGTCTTACTAAAACTCAGCGACCTGGGGAGCAAGTTTTTCAAGAAGTACACCAAACTGTTATAGCAAAATATAAAAGACCCAAAGCAAAAACGTGATGCGGGCATCACACACATACAGAACATGGAATTTTGTACTTTTCCTTGCCCTGAATTCCAGAGCTGGCTCACTCTACTTCACCCTTCACTGAGCCTTCCTATAACCAGGCCATCTCTAGGTCCAGGCATTACCTACATCTTAGGTATAGAACAGGGTCTTTCTTGTTCAGCACCGCTGCATATGACGTCTACTAGCGTCCCATTTTAACAAGAACCCGAGTGAGCCAGGTTTGACCAGTACTCTCTAGCACACTGCTGCATTCCTTTACAAATTCAAAGACAACATAAAAGCGCTTTTCTTTGCCACTGAATTCAAAGGTTTCTTTTTCTATGTTGCCTACAATTGATGCCTTCTGTGCACAGCATAGCACTAATAATATCTGGTTTTATGGATTATATTTTGATGTACTACACACACAAAAGGGGTTACATTTCAGTCCAATCAGTTTAACATGTAATCTGCATGTTAAAGTTTCTGGATTCCGTTCAACTCAAAGTTGAGAAATGAGATTCTTCAGAAAGCGATTGCGGGGGGGGGGGGGGAGGGGGGAAAGGTAAAAAAAACCGTAAACTTCAAAAACTACTAAAAAGCTGAATTAGTTAATAACTTAAAATACTTAAACTCCTTACTATTCATAATTAGTATTGACCAAACTCTAGTTCGCTTTTGCACAGAATGTTTGGAAAGATTAGTATACTTCCAGAAAAACAGGAGGAGGGCAACTTTCACCATAGTTTTCGGAGGTTCCTGACAGGCCTCGAACTTTCAAGCTGGTGTGAATACTTAAGAAGCGCTACAACAAACGAAGGCTGCAGGGTTTCTCTCTTCAGAGGCTGCTCGTCCCAGGGCACGAGCAGCCTGACTTCCGGCCTGTGAAGGAAACGTGCTGCTAGGGCTGAAATGAACAGGGGAACCAACCGAGGAGGAAGTGGGGCTGGCGGAGCCATCCGGCTCTGCCCGGTGGCTCCGGGGCCTCGGAGGCCTCCAGCGGAGCGGGAGAGCGGACTGCGGAGCTGCCTCGCCCGCCCGCCCACCGCCGCCGCCGCCGATCGAGCCTCCGCCCGCCTCCTCCCCAGCCCGCGCCGAACCCACGGCCGAGCGAGCGCGGAGCGGGTCGGCCGCGGCCGCCTCAGGCCTCAGGGCGGCGGGACGGACCCAGCGAGGGAGGCTGAGGGGAGGCCGGGGAGGGAGCGACGGCGTGTGCGGCTGGCCCGGGAGGACGCCGGGGAGGCGAGGCGCTTTTTCACCGTTAGCTTCGTGATCGTGATGTGTTTACCTGTGCGCAGCAGGGCTCCCCAGCTCCTACTCCCTGAATCCTCCTCCCCTCCTTCCTTTCTCTCTTTCTCTCTCTCTCTCTCTCTGTCTCTCGCTCGCTCGCTCGCTCGCTCTCTTTCCCCCTCAGTCTGCCGGGCTCTCTCGTGGAACCTGCCGGCCCGAGCGGCAAGAGGAGGGCGGGAGGTGGCGGCGGTGACCAGCGGGCACGTGACCACGCTCGCGCCGTAACGGCGTCCGCCTCCCGCCGCGCGCCCTCCCGGCGCTCCACCTCTGCTACCCTCGCGTCCCGGGCCGGTGCGCAGGCGCGCGGCCGAGCCTGGGGCGCGCGGCCGAGCGGCCGGGCTCGCGCCAGGCCGGGGATTCCGGCGGGCGCCCGGCGAGGAGGCAAAGAGCACGCCCCGGCCCAAGGCGCTGCCCGGGCCCAGCCGGGGTATAGGAGCCGCAACCCGAACCCCCACGCTCCACCAGCTTCCCTGAGAGGGACTGGCGAGGAGGGAAGTCAGCCCTGGGAGCGTCCTGGGAAGCTAGCGCTCCTGCCTAGGAACTCACATTTCCTTGTCACCTGTCAACGGCCTTCCCTTCATCTTTGGTCTCCAGCCATAGACATGCTGACTGCTCCTGCCACCCAACTCTGTTGGGAGAGACTCATTCGCACTTGGTGAAGACCTTTGTGCGAACCCAGAGATGTTATTTTTCTAGCAAGCCCACGCCGGTAAAACCACGTAGGCTTTATCTTTTCATACCCTAAATCTAGTCTCCCTAACCATCTTAATGACTGACAGTTTTGGCAGAACACAACACCCTCCCTAGCTTATCACTCTCTGCCCTGCGTAATCCTGACATAGGGTTCCCTTTAACCTCCAGCGCTGGGATGCTTGTGTTTGCTTCTCCCATAGGAAAACATCTGAGTGATAATGGTAATTAAAGTGGCAGTTTTATTTTTTAAATGTATCTCTTTTATTAGTCTATCTTTACAAAAAAAAAAATTCAAAGGGAAATTGGTTGTCATGTTCAGAGTAAGGAAACCGAGGCACAGAAAGATCAGAAGTTAGCAAGCTTCCAAGGAAGGAATACCATACCACACTTCACACAGGGAAACACTTTTTTTTTTCTAATGCCCTTGCGGTAGCAGAAACTGAGCAGGTTGAATGGGGTAAGTTAGTACTTCTGGCTAGATGTAATCACGGCTGATAAATAAAATGTAAAAAAAAAAAAAATAGCCTCACTGCAAGTTTTGGCTAAACTCACATTCCATTAGTCTGATGATTTCTGAGAGGGCAGAGAAACAGGACTAGCCACCCAATCCTATGTGAGGATGTGAGGATGCATCCTACGAAGAAACAGCAGAAGCTGGTAGCCATGTAATGGAATTCTGCATGTATAATGGACTTTTCTCCAGCCCCACACACCTCATCCAGAACCTCATGGCCTCCCTGACGTCCTGCGGTTCTTCCACTCCGCTGATGTTACTGGAATTTTAGGGGTCACCAGATCACACAGGAGACATCTGTAGCAAACCCCTCTTGAGGGTCTTAGTCTCATTCATAAAATAAGAAAGGACTGCAAACTCAAGGGCAATGCTATTGGAGTTTAAAAGAAAAACTCCAAAGACGATACTCTGCAAAGCCATGCTGCTTCTTGGGAGGGGATGAGGAGACACACTGTAAAGCTCAGCTGCTTCTCAGGAGAAGGTGAGAAACTAAGGAAAAGAGTGGGCAATCTGTGGTGGTTTGAATAAGAATGGCTCCCACAGGCTCATACATTTGAATGTTCAGTCATCACGGAGTAGAACGGTTAGGATAAGAAGGATTAGAAGATGTGGCCTTGTTGAAGAAAATGTGTTCGTAAGGTCTTGTTTGAGGCTCTCTCTCTCTCTCTCTCTCTCTCTCTCTCTCTCTCTCTCTCTCTCTCTCTCTCTCTCTCCTCCCCCATCCATGCTTCTTGCCACGATGGCAATGGACTAAACTGACACTGGAAGCGAGTTGCTCTGGTCATGGTGTCTCCTGACAGCGACCAAATGCTGACTAAGGCACCACTGAAGCTGGCACAGAGGGCAGATACACGACCAACAAGCAGCTGCATAGTAAGGAGGGAGCAAGCACAAAGTGCTGTGCAGAGACGCGCAGGGTGATAAGGAAAGCATGCTGGCGGGGGGGGGGGAGGAAAGAAGAACAGGAAAAATATCATTTTTCTGAAGAGCAGGCTGACTTAATAGCTACACAGCTGCAGCCCTGTACAGGGGACTGGGATTCTAAGACACGAACAGATCTCAGCGAAGAACTTGTTACCCACCTATCTCTCTAATTTAACTCATAGTGACTCCAGCTTTTAAGGGTAGCCCCTACCCAAAAGAAGGGCCCAGGCAGCTGGCATATTAGATCTCCAGGCCTGAGAGCACATTGCCTTGATGTGTAAGTTTTTCTCTAACACTGGCAACAGGCACCCAGCTTACCTACTAACATGTGACACAAGAAAACCAGACATGAGAAACAGCCCGGCCATCCCAGTGACCTGTCCTGCTCGTTCTGAGACTGGCAGGCCCACTTGACCTCACGACATGCAGCTCCATTATCCTTTAGAGCACAATAGAAACTAAGGAGCCAGCTTCTCACTGGCTTGTTCTTTATTCCCTCAGAAATTGTCTGTAAGAGCCCAGTCTACTGCAGTAAGGCAGAGAATAGCCCCACAGGCTCAGTCTTAAGTGCTTTAAGGGGAAAAAAAGATAACCTTACAAAAAAAAAAACTAAACTGATGTCAGGAGCAGTATCTATATGAACTCTTCATCTTGGGTGAAGCAGCGTGAAACACAAAGAATTGCAAATCGTGTTTAGGAACTGTGGAAGCTACAGGGACCACCCTTGACTCTGACTTCTAAGCCTTTATGAGCACTCAACATCATTCATTCAAGCCAGGCTAACATGCTAATAAATATACATCCTGTATGTATGGGACAGCATTGTCCTCTGGGAAGGGTGAGGTTTGTGGCTTTCTCTTTTTTAAGGTTTTATCATTTATTGCTGTTTTCACAATAAAACTTGGTGCATTCAGTCCCGTTTTTGTTCTCTTGTTTCTCTGAGGACCTGAAATGAAACACACCCTCATTTTGTCCTTTGTCCCATTTTCACACAACAGCTCCAAGACACAGGGCTGGCTCCAGAGACAGCTTAACTCTCATTCTAGTCAGGGAAAACAAAATTGACATTATTTTTTAGAATGCCTACCAAAAAAATGAAAATAAAAATCTGAAACCAAAAATGGATTTGTATGTAGTGTCTGCATACCTATGTGTGATAGACTTCTGGCTCCTCCCCTTCCAAATCTATTTTTCTCTTCTTCCATTGGAATTGAGTTTCATCTGGGAACACAGCCATCCATCTGGAGGCTCCATTTCCTATTCCCCGTTGTGGCTGGGTGTGGCCATGTGACTCCGTTTTCATCCATAGAATGCTAGAGGAAGCAATGTGTGCATTTTCTATATTACTTGCTTTACCAAAATAAATAAATAAATAAATAAATAAATGCTCACCCTACAGTGTTTCTCCCTCTCTATTCCTGCTGTATACTGTACAGAATTACAGACACAGTGACCTAACTCCAAAGATGCACAGCCTGGCAGAGCAACCAGGCAAAGCTGCTGAGTCTCTGGATTGCTGTATGGAAAACTATCTACACAACATTGACTGCACCCACCAACTTTTATTAGAGAGATAAATGTATAACTTATTTAAGACACTGAATTTCTAAGCTTTCATTAAAACCATATATATATATATATATATATATATATATATTCCAAGAAAGAAATTACTCTCAAAAGGTGACTGGAATGTGGATATTGGAGGCATGTAATATATTTTTTTCCCTGAAAAATGTATAGCAAAAATGTCTCATTTGGTCTTTGACTCACTCAACTGATTCTATCCGTTCGAATAACCAGCTAAAAAGCACTCAGTGGGCACACAGGAAGACAGATGCTTAGGGACCAGTGATGGGAAAGGTATCAATTAGATATGTCACAGAAATAATCCATAACAAACAACCCCAATATCTGAATGACTTAAAACACAAACACTTTTTTTACTAAGGAGTTACAGGTTAGAAGTAGGTTACCAGATCTCAATTTGACTGGGCCAAATGGGCTTTGTTGGATTCTAGATTTGTGGTTGAGCTCAAGTCTTTTCCACATGTGTTCATTTTGTTTTCTGTCTGTATTTTGGGAGGAGAAGCTTGTTTTAGTCACTGTTCTGCTTCTGTGATAAAACACCATGGCTATGGCAACTGCCTTAGCTAGGGTTTCATTACTATGAAGCGACACCTTGATGACCAGGCAGCGGTGGAGACACCCACCTTTAATACCAGCACTCATGAAGCAAAGATGACAAATCTCTATGAATTAGAGACCAGCCTGGTCTACAGAGGGAGTTCCAGGACAACCAGGGATACATAAAGAAATCCTGTCTCAAAAAACAAGTAAGAAAAAGACATCATGATCACAGCAACTCTTATAAAGGAAAATATTTAATTGGGGCTGGCTTATACACTTATACTTCAGAGGTTTAGTCCATTGTCATCATGACAGGAACATGGCAGCTTGCAGGCAGACATGGTGCTGGAAAGGTAGCTGAGAGTTCTACAATCAATTGGCAGACAGCAGGCAGAGACAGTGAGCTATGTTGCCTGGCTTGAGCTTCTGAGACCTCAAAACCCACCTGTGACACACTTCTTCCAACAAGGCCACACCTCATAATAGTGCCACTTCCTATTGGGCTGGGGGGGGCATTTTTATTCAAACCACCACCGCAACTTACAGAAGGAAAAGTTTTGGGGGGGGCTTCTAGTTCCAGAGGGTTAGCGTTCATGATGGCAGAGTGAAGTCAGGATGGCAAGTGCAGCTTACATCTTTTACTGCAAGCAGGAAGCAGAGAAAGCATACTGGCGAGGACAGAATGCTTTTGAAACCTCAAGCCCACCAGTGACACATCTCCTCCAACAAGGCCACCTTGTTAATCCTTCCCAAATAGCCACCAAAGTGGAGACCAGGTATTCAAATGCCCTAGACTTGGGCGTTTGTGTTGGGGCACAACTCATTCAAACCTCCACACAGCTACACGCAACACACTTGCTCTACTCATATCAGATGACAGAAGTACAGAGGACAAAGGGACATTCTGTGTTTCTTAAGGGTTTTTGTTCAGGATTCACACTCTCATTTCCACTTACATCCCACTG